AAATAGGAACTATGTAAGGGTGCAACTGTTTTGGAAAACGCCGTATTTTTTTAAAAGCTTGTGCTAACAGAGGTAGTATAAACTATAATTCATTAACTGTTAGATACATGTGTAAACAATCCTTTTCTCCAGGAAAAGACCACAGAGTATCCCATTTTAAAAGTTGTCTTTGATCCACTTGCTGCATCCTATGACGTATACACACAAAACTTGAACGGAATGTTATGATAATTATGTTCCACTGAAGCTGACTAGAATGATCGTAATCTTGCAATAAAAGTTTATTTTACAGAAGTTCCAATAGCACAGACCTTTGAATACTTTCAAAATGTATGCAGTAGATATAAAAGTAAGAATCTTCATCTGTAAATATATTGTTTTCGTAGAAAATAATATAAAACGGTATCTCTCATCCTAACTCTTATTAAAACATTGATAAAAAATATATTTAAACTCAGGGAAATTTCTAACTACATCGTTCAACAACCAGAGCTATAGGCGTGATATATTCTAACTATTTCATTTAAAATGGTACTTTCTTCCGATTTTAATACTTACTTGCCTTTAATAACTTAATGTTCTGATCCTGTTTATAGAAGTGTTATTTCTGAGTTTTTGTCGAGCCTGTGACTTCTGTCACAGAAAGCTCGACATAGGGATAGTGATCCGGCGGCGGCGGCGGCGTTAAATAACCACTTAATTCATTTTGAATTTTTTGATTTTTGGTGTTTTACGCCACTTTTAAGCACCGCTTTTTGGCTATTTCGTGGCGGTCAGTTTTTATTGGTGGAGGAAGCCGGAGTGCCCGGAGAAAACCACCGACCTTCGATAGGAGAACTGACAATCCTAGTTAACCACTTAATTAGAAGCTTAATATTTCAGATGGTAGAAGACCTGGATGCTTCATACTTTGTATATAGATGCCTTATGTTATGAAGTTTCCGTCTGTCATGTGATCATTGTCCTTGACCTCATTTTCATGATTCAGTGACTACTTGAAAAAAGTTCAGATTTTTTGTAAAGTTAATTTCTCTTTTATTATGAGTAATATGATAACTATATTTGGTATGTGTGTACCTTGCAAGGTACTCATGTCTGTCAGACCGTTTCACTTGACCTCGACCTCATTTCATGGATCAGTTTCCATGGTCAAGTCAATATCTCACTGAGATACTATAAGCAATGGGTCTACTATTTTGGTATATGGAATGATTGTAAGGTGTACATGTACATGTCCAACTGGCAGGTAGCATTTGACCTTGACAGATGCGGATCCAGGATTTTGAAAAAGAGGGGCCCGGTGGGCCTTCAAACTATACAAAGTTTGTAGTGAAACCGGTTAAAAGTCTGGACTTACCATAAATGAAACTCCATAAAGGGAGGCACCCTGGGTACCCCCTCAATCCGCCCCTGCTTGACCTCATTTTCATGGTTCAGTGGTTAAAGTTTAGTTTTTGGAAAGTTTGCTATAGCTTACTATAGCAATATACTTGCTATAGCAATATACTTTCCTAAGGCATCGGCCTCAAACCGGAAGTTGGACAGACTATCGCTAGTGTTCTACTCCTAGATAATGTAGTACTAGTGTTTGAATACTAATTCTAGGAAGATGCTTTTGAAATTTTGAGTTTCTTTTGTTTTGATTAGCTTACAGCTTGAATGAACATGTACTGAATGTTCATCGATAATTCAAATGAATTCAACTTCATTTTGAAAATGGCTATCACAAACACTACTTTGCGGATCTGCGCTGCGCGGAAATTAAAATCAATACACATCTACACGAGACAGCAGTTTCTACGTTATACTTTTATCGGTATTCCCCAGACATGCGTGAGATCCATATATGTGTACCTCCCGACGGGAGTACAATAATCCCGGTTTCAGGGGTTTCCTCCCGTCCTCCGGTTGAAGAGAAGATAAATACCGTGTTTAATATATTTCATGAATGAAAATTTTTCGACGCTATTTTTACTACGATTATTATAATGTTTATTAAGACGTGAAAGCCCGAGTATATCGAAAGTAACCTGGTATCTCATCTCGACCCATAACAGACTCGGACTATAACAAACTCGGCCTATTACAAAATCGGACTATAACAAAATTCGTATATACTATTTGTTATTAAGTCTCCCAAACAAAGTTTGGAGACTTAATGTTTTTGCTCAGTTCTTATTATTTTTCTTCTTGGGGTCTATTTATGGGTATTTTGAGGGGCCTACAGAAGGGAGGGATTTACTAAAAAAAACCTATGGGATTTTATTTTTCTTAATTTTCAAATGACTATAACTTGAGAACAGTAAGTGACAGACACACGCGGTCTTCAATAATGATCACAGGACAATAAAACAAATCAAATAAGATATAGTTTGAGTCCCTGGGGTCACCCCTTTCAATTTGAGACTGGGCTTTTTTCTTGTAAACAGTCGAGATCCCCACACCTAAACCATATATATTCATGTATGGGATAATAAAACAAATCAAATGAAATATAGCGGGAGTCCCTCTGGGTCACCCCCACTCCCTCCTAATTGAGAACTTGTAAACGGTCGAGATCCCCACCTTGAAACCATATATATTCTTGTATGGGACAATAAAACAAATAAAATGAAATATAGGGCGAGTCCCTGGGGGGTCACCCCCACCACCTCCTGTTTGAGAACTTGTAAACGGTCGATATCCCCACCCCTAAACCATATATATTCTTGTATGGGACAATAAAACAAATCAAATGAAATATAGGGGAAGTCCCTGGGGGTCACCCAACCCCATCCTGTTTGAGAACTTGTAAACGGTCGAAATCCCCACCCCTAAACCATATATATTCTTGTATGGGACAATAAAACAAATCAAATGAAATATTGTGGAAGTAAACAGGCGTCACCTCCAACCCCCATTCTTTTTGAAAACTTGTAAACGGTCGAGATCCCCTACCCAAAACCATATATATTCTTGTACGGGACAATAAAACAAATCAAATGCATTATAGGGAGAGTCCCTGGGGGTCACCCCACCCCATCCTGTTTGATAACTTGTAAACAGTCGAGATCCCCACCCCTAAACCATATATATTCCTGTTCATGATTTCAAAAAGATTTGAATGACATACAGGGTTAATCCCTAGGCGTCACTTATGCATATCACTTTACTAGACCAAACCAATTTGTACTAGACTTTGCCCAATATCAGGCGACCATGGGAATGACTAATTATGGGAGCTTAGTTTGGGAGACTTCGTAACAGCATCCTGTTACAATTATTTCTTGTATTAAGTAAAAACAAATTAGAAGTCGGAAAAAACCGTTAAAAACACAATCTTCTAGTCATAGTCTGAGTTTGTTCAATATATAACAATTCAAACAAGAAAAGTAGCTGCTTAATTAGTAATAATACAATTTACTACAAACAAATATGAAGGACCTTAATCAATAAAAAATACTTAATCACAGGCCCTTTACATGGGATGGGCACAGAAAGAAATTAACAGAGCTATCTGTATATTTGATTATTTTAAATCTACAGTTAATGGTTGCAATAGAAATTATCAAAATTTTACATGACAAACATATGAAATAAGTGATTTTTGTTAATTGCTGATGAGTCAATGGTTTAGGGAAAACACCAAAGCTGTGATTAAATACATATTTGAAATAATACACATCTACACATTATTTGAAATAATACACATCTACAACCTATTTGAAGTAATACACATCTACAACCTATTTGAAATAATACACATCTACAACCTATTTGAAATAATACACATTTACCGTTGCAAACTTTCCACAGGTGCTATCCAGCACTTTGATTATGATTTGGTCTGTTCTTCTAATACTGTGTGCAATTGGTCAACTATATTTGGTGTATGAAAATATTTTACGATGAACAAGTCAGTCTGGTAGGTTTTGTTTGACCTTGACCTCATTTTAAGGGTTCATTGCTCAATGTTAAGTTTTTTGTGTTTTTGTCAGTTTTTCTGCAATAGGTCAACTATAATTGGTGTAATGATTGTAAGGTGTATATGTCTGTCTGGCAGGTATCATGTGACCTTGACCTCATTTTCATGGTTCATTGGTCAATGTTAAGTTTTCCTGGTTAAAGTTTTTTCTTAGATACTATATGCAATAGATCAACTATATATTTGATCAATAGAATGATTTTAAGGTGTACATTTTCTTTATGAGGATAAAAAAAAATGTCTGATATATTTTGACGAATCACGTTAAAGTCTTTCCAAATATACGGTAACGGATAATTATTTTAGACCCCCCCCCCCTTTTGTGGGAAAAATTTGGTTGATTATTTAGGGAATCACTGAAGCTTGACTGGAGCGGGCCCCCTCTTAGGCAGTAAGTGGGTCCCCCTTATGAAAATTTCTGGATCCGCCGCAGGTATTTAGCTGAATTTTGTCCCCAAATAACCTTCGGATGTCAAGCAACAATCACTTTTTAATTAAATTATGATGTCAAATTTTACAGGAACTTGTGAAATTTTAAGTAATGGCGGACAAATTTGCATACAAGTGAGGCCCCTCATGTGGTTGTCCAAGTAATCACATAATCACAATTTTTTTGGCCAATATAATCACATAATCATCAGAGACATGTATATCTATGTCTCTGTAATCATTAATTATTTTTTTTAAACAAGATAATCAAATAATCAAATAATCATGAAATCAAAAACTGGTATTCAAATAATAACTATAAAAACGGCCAAGTAATCAAATAATCAAAAACCCCATGAGGAGGCTCACAAGTGTATCTATAATACCCTCAGATGAAACCTGCTAGACGTCACGAATCCACGGAATGTATTAAGGTCGAAAGCTCCGAGTTTAGCATAACTATCATATAAATAGCACCTAGTTATGTCGATCTGGTTTGGACAGCGTGTTGTTTTGCTTTGTTTGATTTTTCACCTTTTAAAAATTCCCGCCGGGTAACTTCGAATAAATTGAAACGTCAACAGGAAATAAAACGAATGATGGGAAACAGGTGTTGTAGTCACTTCCGGTTTTAACAAAATATAGCTTGGAAATGGATTGAAAGCCGAAAATCCTGATAATACGCTTACTGTAAATATTTTAACATAAATTCAATAGATTTTTACTAACTTCGTATTTCTGACACGACTGAGACAGTAACATACCATATTTTGGTAGAAATGATTACATTTTATTTGCAGACTGGTTGATATTTTGCACCCCCATCATGTTATAAATATAGAAATGATAAACCATTCACCAGGCACCGTCTGTTTACATAGAATAAATCTCCATTATATATAACTTTTGTATGACTCATGTTTAAGATACTCAAAACTAAACACCGTAAATTCTGTAGGTGTCACTGTTGTTGCTGAATCATGAATGGTAGCGCGCCTATAAATTCCCAACTGATAAATACACCATAGTGGTATTGGTAAAGCGACTCAGTAAATGCATCCCAAAAATCACAGACATCTATGGAGGCATTAAGGCTTACCCTTGTCCGTCTGTACGTCCGGAAGTTGGTTTCGGTTCTCTCACTTTAGTTTGCCTCAACCAAATGTTATGAAAATTATACACAATGCTAATTACCACAAAACACAGATCAAGTTTGAATATAGGTGGTGTGACTTTTACAGTTCTCTAGCTATGTTCCTTTATAACCTTTAATGCAAGCAGGGGCATCACCTGTGTCCCATGGACACATTCCCCATTTGAAAAAGTACTTGTACTTTAGTTTAGTAGTATATATAGTACATATGTACATGTATGCATTTGTTCAACTATTTCCTTAACTTTATTATATCCAGAAACTCATTATTTACTCAAAAGACTTTAAGACCATCTTGGCAATCTACAATGAGTATTACAAATTCACATAATAGTTCTAAATTCTACATGTAGGTGCATTGATCGTGTTTTAAAAAATTGTATGTACATTTTTGCTGCTGGTATTTTGTAATTATAAAACACCCATGCAACCATGCATCCCATATTGCCTATTTTGCAACTGCCAAGTAATACACTGTCCAAACTAGGGACTTTTTTTTAATTTTATAGACATTTAACATGTTTAATATCAAATTTAAAGTAAAACAGTGTTCCCAGACCTTAATTATGTGTTGTTTTCCTCATATCAATACACATTTGACCTCAGAACAATAATTTTCAATCTTACTCTGGTATTTTACTTGTAGGTGTAGGTAAAATGTCAGCTTCAGCAGTATATATTCTGGATGTGAAAGGCAAGGTAAGATTGAAATAGTACAATACAAGATGGAAGGTAGCAAAAAATGATAATCATAAAAGAACTTATAAAGTTATACATTTGCGATCCTTTTTTAACAAAAAAGATGAATATGTTTTAAATATTTTTGCAATAAATCATGTGCACATTGACACTTTAAAGAAAATCCTTTATTATAACCAAATCTTCAAAATGTTCTAGTATTTGATTGTCTTCCCGTACTCTAACTCGCCAATTGCTTTTCCGTATCTGTACATGTATGAAGTGACCTTAAATTGTAACATCTGTTGTAAGTAATTCAGCAATCACACAGCACATGTGTAAAGATATAAACATTGAAAAAACTAAAAAATATATCTATTGATGGTTTATCAAGATCATGATAGGTAAACATGGGCGCCAAAGCCAGATAGCTACATGTACATGTATTTAAGCAGTCAACAATCATGAAATAAGCTATTTTTTGTCAGTTACACATTATGGATTTGTATAAATGTAAAAAACGTGCATAGAGGACTTAGTTCAGTACAAATGTACATGTATGCATTGGTTCAACTATTCCCTTAACATTATAATATCCAGAAACTCTTTATTAGCTCATAAGACTTAGCTTAAAGACAATCTTGGCAATCCTCAATGAGGATTAAAAATTCACTGTTAACCTTATGTGGGAAAAGACACATTGTACATTGCAAATAATGGAGATACTTTTTTAATATCTACATTGCACAAACTATTTCAATTAAAAATAATACTAATTTGTATTTCCAAAAAAAAAGATTATGTCCATTTTTGACGTGTACAAAATGTACCTTGTATATATCTTTTATAGGTATTGATATGTCGGAATTATCGAGGCGACATAGATATGTCTTGTATAGACAAGTTCATGTCATTAGTGATGGACAGAGAGGAAGAAGGCAGTATGACACCAATCATTCAACATGGAAACGTAACATTTGTTTATATTAAATATAATAACTTGTATTTGGTGGCTACAACTTTGAAGAACTGTAACATAGCACTGGTATTCTCATTCCTACACAAGCTAGTCCAGGTAAATGGTCAAATATCTAGTATTATTTTCTGGAATAGTTAGTTTTGAGGTAAATTACATAACAAAGTTTATGTTAAAATGTTAGCAGAAGAAATTAAACCATAAAATCAGGTTCTTGCATAATTGACTCTTTTGCACAAATGTTTAAAATTGATGCTCTCCAATACAACATGAACTTTTATCATGTTTATTTTTAAAAGAGCTGTAATTGGCATTCTCATTGTCTACAAACAAATTATAGCACAGTTGCTAAACACTTAAGCTTTTTTGTTTTTCCAATTTTTCAGTTTCAAAGTAGGCATAATTTAGTGAACACTGCTTGCAAAGTCTGCTCTGAATTATGCAGGTCAGTTTCAATAAGACTGATAAAATAATTCTTCCACTGGTACCTTTTCAAAATTATGTCGTACATGTTATATTTGCTATTTCATGTAACTGATTTATCAAGAATATTTTTTAGACAGGTAAACTATCTCAGTAGGCCCGAGAACACAGTAATTTCATAGTGGATTTTTTTTAGACAAAAAACACATATTAAAAAAATCGCACCTGCTCTATCGTATAAAGATTTTTACAGTGTAGTGTACTACTTTTGGGACAAATTATATCAAAATTATAGAAAAGTCTATTGGCTCTAACTCAAAATATGGACAATTTTATGTTAAGGGGGTCTGTAATTCAGTTTGACATCTTCAGGCATACTATTTTTTTACCTTTTCAAACGACCAAATCACTACTTTACCCAAATATTCATGCCCCAAATTTTTTTACGTGTAATTTCATCCCCCTACTTACTATTTTTTGCATAAAATGTAAAGAAATAAATTTGGAAGATATATGAAAAAAATTTGCAAGTTACACACTGTCCACACTAGGGACTCTTATTTGTAGACAACGACAATCAAAGGACGATAACTGTGTCCCCGGACCAGTAGTATTGTGGTGCTATAGTTGCCTCATGCATAAGCATTTGTTAGTTCTGCCTATGTCAAATTTCTGACTAACCTAAGTGATGTGAGGTCAAATAATGAAATAACATACATTAGTAATTACATAGAAAAAAAATATCTGTTATAACACATTTGCATTATACACAATGTATAATGAAAAATTATTCATTGTTATACTAAATTTTTTGTGTTATTTGCAATGCATGTTCTGATTTTGTGTCATGGATGGATGCCCCACATCTTCTTTTCTATCGTCCTGAATATGCATGAAATATTTGCCACTGGACGTTAAGCAACCAACAATCAATCAATCAATCTTCTTTTCTATTGTATAATTTTGTTACTTGATCCTACATCATCTCAGAACATTTGTACACAAACTTTTTTGGAAATTTTTATTAAAAATGATACTTTATGAAGGTCTTAGAGGCATCTTTACTATAGGATGACAAACAACTTGCAGAGAAGTACATTCTTCCATAATACCAACTGTTAAATATATTCTTTAAATAGATCAGGTTATGCACTTGACTGTTCATAGAACTATCATCCTTGATAAGCATGCCACATTTTGAGCTTGAAATTAAGCATCTAATAGGCAGGTAAGATCTCTATTTTTATACGACCGCAAAAAAATTTTGCCGTCGTATATTGGTATGACATTGGCGTCATCGTCGTCCGAAGACACATTGGTTTTCGCACTCTAACTTGAGTTTAAGTGAATGGATCTCTATGAAATTTTACCATAAGGTTCAATACCACAAAAGGAAGGTTGGGATTGATTTTGGGGGTTATGGTACAAACAGTTAAGGAATTAGGGGTCAAAAATAAGTATTTTTGTAACTTCCAGACATAACTTGTGTGTTAGTGTATGGATCTCTCTGACATTGTACCACAAGGTTCCATATCACAAAGGGAATGCTGGGATTGATTTTGGGGGTAATTGCCTCAAAATTTTAGGAATTAGGGGCCAAAAACAGGCCAAAAAACAATCATTTTTCTAGTTTCATGATATACATGTAATAACTTGTGTGTAAGTATATGGATCTTTCTGAAATTGTACTACAAGGTTCCATACCACAAGGGGAAAGCTGGAATTGAATTTGGGGCCAAAAAACGGCCTTAAAACAAGCATTTTTGTAGTTTCCAGACAATAACTTGTGTTCAAGTGTATGGATCTCTCTGAAATTGTACTGCAAGGTACCATACCACAAAGGGAAGGCTGGGATTGAGTTTGGGGGTGATGAATCATAAGGGGGTTCAAAAAATTTGGGAGAGGGATTTTTTTTTCCTTTTTTCCTTTTTTTTTCTTAGAATTTTCCATTTTAAATTGGTAATTTCTGATTTACATATAAAAGCAAATAATAATGATATGGTTTGAATAGGTAAATTAAATTTTTTTAAGTTCTTTGACCATATTCATTCTGTGTCAAACCTATGCTGTGTCAAATATTTAAACACAATCCAAATTCAGTGCTGTATCAAGCTTGAATGTTGTGTCCATACTTGCCCCAACTGTTCAGGGTTCGACCTCTGCGGTCGTATCAAGCTGCGCCCAGCGGAGCATTTTATTTTTATTATATGCATATAATACTTATTATTTGATTTCCATTACAGATAATGATTGAATACTTTAAAGAAATAGAAGAAGAAAGTATCAGAGACAACTTTGTCCTAATTTATGAACTTTTGGATGAGGTGATGGACTTTGGGTTTCCTCAGACCACAGACAGTAAAATTTTACAAGAGTAGGTAGTATTTTTTATATCCAGTACACATTGAAATGGTAAGAGTTTCCACCAAAACTCTGTAACAAGTTCTGATATCCAGTTCTTCTATTTTTTTCCCTATAAATCCTTAAAAAAAGGATAAATATGCATTTATGAAGTTGGTGATTCCTTTGCGCAACAACTAACAATTGTCATAAAAATCACTTCCAAATAACAATTATATATGATACATTATACATTTGTTTGAAATATTTAATTAAAAGCCAGTTTGGTCTAAAATTTACTTATCATAGATAAGCAGACAGACATGCCTATATTTTGAATGTTGTTTACCATTAGAACTACTTATACTACATAAAACTGTATTTTAACAGTAATTATGGATTTTGGAAATACATTAGATGCATGCATACTCACACATACATGTATACCAGCTTACAAATACTGTATTAATGTAATGCAGATAGTTATGAATCATTATATTTTGCTATAAATATTTCAAAACAATTTACAAACTAGAGGAAACATATCTTTTAGAATAACATTGATTGATCTGTCCAATGTTGTTATCAATAAATGTCAAAAAAGCTTATACCTAGCTTATTTCCACTTTTGCAAAAATAATTTCCTAATTGTAATACAGCAATGTAGGAACCAACAACAGATTGTCTTATTTGAGTAACAGTTTCAGATTTTGTCTTGATATTTTTGCAATCAGAAATGTTTTTAATTTATCACTGATGTTTACTCTTTTTAAGGTATATAACACAAGATGGACATAAGTTAGAGGTTGCTCCTCGTCCACCTATGGCTGTTACTAATGCAGTATCATGGAGATCTGAAAAGATTAAATATAGAAAAAATGAAGTATTCTTGGATGTTATAGAATCTGTTAATTTATTGGTAAGTCTTAAACACATATATATTGGGACATTGTTATTTTAAAAAAATGTGGTAAAATAGAGACCTGTATATGTGTTTATTATTTATTCAATAGAAGAACATTTTATATTGGATTTTGATCTTGTGAATATCTTTGATTTAGGTGATATAACACCTTCGTTTGATATAAACAGCAGGAGGAAATGAAAGCTTTTTGTTCAGGGTAATTCAAAGATGTCTAATAAATTGTGTTACACTAGGAAATAGTTGTAATAAAAAAACTTGAATGCAACAAAAGTGACAAAAAAAACTTTTAATATCTAATAAATGACTAAAAAAAATAGAGAAACATTCTTTTTACTATATAGTTTCCATTTTTCATTTTTTTACAGGTTAGTGCTAATGGTAATGTTCTTAGAAGTGAGATTGTAGGGGCTATTAAGATGAGAGTATATTTATCTGGTATGCCTGAGTTACGACTGGGACTGAACGATAAAGTCTTATTTGAAAGTACTGGAAGTAAGTACAGAGGTTGTATCATAATTTTAGATATAACTAACTTGTGTATTGAGAAATGTTGAGAAGTTTTTTTTTGGGGGTAAAAATGTGACAGAAAGAAAGTAAAATTTAATTTAGGGTTAAATTTACCTTATTTAAGACTTGTTGGTGTAGACTTATAAAGCTTTATGCAAAGGTTATAAAATCCATACACAAAACTGATTTTGATAAAACTCACTTTTGACAAATATTTGGTGAATCCATTTAATCTCTAGACATACATTGTTTTCCAGTTAAACGTATTGCAACCACCTGTTTAAAAAATAGAATATATTCCAGAAAGATAGTAAATATGTTATTTTGCTTGTTCAGTTTATAGATTTCCTTCATAGATTATGAGGATTATATAAATCACAATTAATATTTAAGCCAATAGTGAGTTTTGGATTTTTTTTAAAGTGCAAAAAAAGTGGTTAAATGATAATGCACATGCTATTTTTTAAAGCCTTTTTTACTTTTTTTGTTTACAGGAGGAAAGAGTAAATCTGTAGAATTAGAGGATGTGAAGTTCCACCAGTGTGTTAGATTATCTAGATTTGAGAATGATAGAACAATTTCCTTTATACCTCCTGATGGAGAGTTTGAACTGATGTCTTACAGACTTAATACACATGTAAGTTTGATTACAATCCAATAATTTACTACTGTAGGGTGTAATTGACAAAGTTATAGATCTTATTGTTAAATATTTAAACAACATCTGCACAATTTTTTGGTTGATGAGGCTGAGAAAAGAAAAGTATTTTTTTTTTGAAATTTTCTTCTTTGTTTCATACTAAATATAAATTGTAATTGATATCAAACATGTTCAAGATGTCAGATGTTCTGGTTTGTGTTTTAGTCCATTTGTACCCCCTTTAACTTTAATGTAATGGCAATAGTAGTTCAAATGCTTAAATATATCTTGGATGTTTTTACAGGTAAAACCATTAATATGGGTGGAGTCAGTTATAGAAAGACATGCCCACAGTAGGGTGGAATATATGATCAAGGTAAGATAGACAGCAAGGTTTAAATAGGTTAAGATTAAACATATTTTATTTGCTAAATCTACACAAAATGGATGAGACACAACTTAATCATACATAAACATAGGTATCTGATCAAAAACCTTTCTTTTTCCAGATTGTTATATGAAAAAGTTAGAGCTGCTATGTTGCAATAGAATAACGAAGGCAAATTTTCAGTCTTAGTTGAGTTAAAAAAACATTGAAGTTTTAGGATGCCTTAAGTATCACCATGATCACAGGATAGTATAAAGATAAACATTGGTCAAATGACTTATAAAGTCACACGTTAAGTTTTTACACTCAAGGTTCTGTAGCTCTATGAGAATTAGGACAATTGTAATTGGTTTTAAGAGTGGTGGTAAGGTGTACATGTCCAATCTGACCTGACAGTAATCACATGGTCCTTAACCTCTTTTAATGGTTCAACGATAAACATTTTCTCCCTAGGTCTGGTCAGTTTCTCACATTACATTTATTACATCATGTACATCAAAATACAATAAATCAGGGCAGTAGCTCTAATTCTTTTATAAATACTGAACATTTGTATGGAACTTTTGATGTATATAAAATGTCATTCATTCTCATCCCAGAAATAATTTTGTTAAATATTTAAAATAAAGATATGCTGTAAATTTAGCAATTGCTCCAATGTTTTTAGTTTTGATTCAGCCATGCTGGATCTATGTGATCACTCTGGTTTTGGAGATGGTGCAGAATACTAAGTTGAAGACATATCATGAAACTAACTATGTGTTTTAATGACTTGCAGAAACTTTCTACACCATTTTAATCATCGACTGCCAACTTTTGACATGTTATTTGCCCTTGAATTAAGAAAATATTGGTCGAACAGCTACTTTATATTAGATATGTACTTGCATATAGTTCCTTTGTAAATCAAAGTTTATAATAAATAACTATTTAGGAATTAATGTGAAAAAGTAATATATTAATCAAATTTAATCAGGTGATAAAAATTATGAAAGTATTTTATAAGTATCTTATGCTTGTGTAATTATAAGTTATTGAATAAAATTTGGTACAAGATGTGTATTGATAAAGTTGATTCCCACACTTCTTATACAACCGCAAAAAAATTTTTTTGCGGTCGTATATTGGTATGACGTTGGCGTCGTCGTCGTCCGAAGACACATTGGTTTTCGCACTCTAACTTTAGTTTAAGTGAATGGATCTCTATGAAATTTAACCATAAGGTTCAATACCACTAAAGAAAGGTTGGGATTGATTTTGGGGGTAATAGTACCAACAGTTAAGGAATTAGGGGCCAAAAAGGGGCCAAAAATAAGCATTTTTGTAACTTCCAGACATAACTTGTGTGTTACTGTATGGATCTCTCTGACATTGTACCACAAGGTTCCATACCACAAAGGGAATGTTGGGATTGATTTTGGGGGTAATTGCCTCAAAATTTTAGGAATTAGGGGCCAAAAAGGGGCAAAAACAAGCATTTTTCTAGTTTCAGGACAATAACTTGTGTGTAAGTGTATGTATCTTTATGAAATTGTACTACAAGGTTCTATATCACAAAGGGAAAGCTGGGTTTGAGTTTGGGGGTAATTGCCCTAAACGTTTAGGAATTTGGGGCCAAAAAGGGGCCTAAAAACAAGCATTTTTCTAGTTTCCAGACAATAACTTGTGTTCAAGTGTATGGATCCCTCTGAAATTGTACTGCAAGGTTCCATACCACAAAGGGAAGGCTGGGATTGAGTTTGGGGGTGATGAATCATAAGAGGTTAAAAAAATTTGGGGGAGGGATTTTTTTTTTCCTTTTTTTCCTTTTTTTTTCTTTAAAATTTTCCATTAAAAATTGGTTATTTCTATAAAAGCAAATAATAATGATATGGTTTGAATAGGTAAATTAAATTTTTTAAGTTCTTAGACCACATTCATTGTGTGTCAGAAACCTATGCTGTGTCAAATATTTAATCACAATCCAAATTCAGTGCTGTATCAAGCTTGAATGTTGTGTCCATACTTGCCCCAACTGTTCAGGGTTCGACCTCTGCGGTTGTATCAAGCTGCGCCCAGCGGAGCATTTTATTTGAAATGCTATTCCAATTCTTTCCTTGGGCTTAGGCAAGTAAGAGTACTGTAGAGTATGATAGACAATTATCATTATTTACAAACACTTTCACTCAAAGGTGGGAGTATTAATTGGAATCAACTCCACTTTAATGCCAATCTTAGTTGACCACAGTTAATATCTCTTGTGTTACATAATTAAATACACACTTCATTACAAAACTAACTTATACACTTGACTTCAATAGTATACCTGTAATTACTTTTGATCTAAACTACATAAAATTATTCTGTAAACTATGTCTCAAAGATGAATGACTAAGGATTGATAGGATGCATTTTTTGCAAAGAAAAGACAAAAAAAATATGTGTGTATAAAAAATGCAAGCAGGGTCTATTTTACTTGTAAAGTCAGTGTTATAATCATCAATGATTTAGGTTAATTTAAGTTTGATTATAATTAATTTGCTGGAAACAATAAACAAATATGCATAACTCTAACCTGAGCATTTATTCGTTTATTCACCATTTTATTGCTATTTAACAGTGTAAGGTACTTGTACCTGTATTTTAATACAGCAGGATCTTTTCCCAATGAATAATGAACACCAATTTAAATAAAAATTAATTTTCTTAATTTTTGGTTAAAAAAAAAGTGCATTTTCAATGCCTCATTCTGGAAATTATTAAATCAAACTTCAATAAAAAGTATACTACACCTTTCTTTGAAGATTTCTATTTCCAATCCTGTCAAAATTGTTTAATTGGAATAAAGAAAATATTGGAAACCCTTCTAAAAATTGAAATATCAAAAAAATGTGTATCTATATTGAGAAATTCTGCATCTTTGGGCAATTGAATACAATTTCTTTAGTAGTATCATGAAAATGAAATAAAACTGTTCATCTTCAGTGTCATATGCAATATTTATCAAACTCAATAAGTTATTGAAAGAAAGAGTTAGAAAAATTGCATAATATGTTCAAACATAGAAATACTCCCAAAAGCAACCACTTACAGGAAAATTTGGGGAGACAAGCTTGTTTTGTCACTGACTGAAAAAAAACCTATCTTTCTGAATTTAATGCAAGAATGATATATAAAGTTTTTTTTTGTTCATCACAATCCCTGAGAATATGATTTGAAATTATGCACACAACCCTTCCAGTCTCTCCATTAGTGATTCCTATTACTTTGATTGTCAGAAGTACCTTAGAAAAAGTACATTTTTTTCTTAGAATTTCATGACTGGTAATTTTTTAGTTAAATAATAATAAAAATGATGACATGTTCTACATTTCAATCCTTTGGGTTGTCTGCTTTTTTCAGTCCCTTGGTTTCTTGAATGTTAAAAGTGTTTAAACACAAGTTAAAACATTTTTAGCTCAAATCACTTATCCAAAGTTGTGATGTTTGTCTCTAAAGAAAAAAATTTATTAAAAATGAGATAAAAAAAATTGTCCAACTAGCTGTTGCCAAAAAATGGCTGAATAACAGCACCAACAATGCTTTAATTAATAATGTGGAGCCTGCAATAGGACAAATTTCTCATCAAAACTAACATTTTTATTTTTTACAGTAAAGTTCTTCTAAAATATTTACAGTAACCAAATTTATTAATCTAGCATTTTTTTCTGTTGAAGATTTTGACAATAATAGATACACACATTAAATTATTTTTCAGTCGATATTTCTTAGTAGCTAGATAGTTCTTACTGAAAACCTCAGATGGCACTGAGAAGTTGACTTTTTTGCTTTGTCTAATAGAAAAATGTTTAATGATAAATGTCGTTTCAGGCTAAAAGTCAGTTTAAAAGAAGATCAACAGCCAACAATGTAGAAATAATCATTCCAGTTCCAACAGATGCTGATACTCCAAAGTTTAAAACAACAGTCGGTAGTTGTAAATATGCACCAGACTTGAATTCTGTGATCTGGACAATTAAGTCATTCCCAGTAAGTTTAAATGAAGATTTACCAGTATATATGATTTATATATATTGTATGATTATTAAAGTATCATTCATAAGATTAAATATCTCTTCTTATTTTAAGCTCACATGACCAAAATGCCACGTAATTATCTTGAAAACTTTGATAGATAGGTAGAAACTATTAGGGCAATGATCAGCGATACAATTTCTCCAAAATGCCATGAAGAGTGAAACCATTGGATATTCCTTTAAGTTATTTCCTGTAAATGATATTTTTTTTTTAATTTCTGATTTCAATCTTTAAAACAGACATTGATATACAGGAACGTTTTGCAACCGAATTGATCACCAAGACAAATTTTAGTTTTACATAGTTTCTATCTAACACACATAATCTTTTTACATTGTTTCAATTTATTTTTGCCCAAAATCGGGGTGAGCATACAGGCTCCTGGGCTCCTGTTTGTCATTTTTTTCGATAAAATCTGTCACTTTTTTTGATAAAATAAGATCAGTTACAACAACTTACATGTTGATGAAAGTTTCTTTTAAAAAAATCCTCATAAAATAAGAGTTGTCGAGGAAAACCTAAACCTATTTTATTTTGGACTTTATGTTAGCCTTGATAAAATAATTTGAAATTTTGGATTGTAGTTAAGGACCATTATTGACAGGTGAATTTTGTTCTATTATGTATCTATTTATACTAATTATAGGGTGGAAAAGAGTATCTGATGAGAGCACACTTTAATTTACCTAGTGTTATAGGAGAAGACTCCGAGGGCAAACCTCCAATTCATGTCAAGTTTGAGATTCCATATTTCACTGTATCTGGTATACAGGTAACTATTTATGCTATTTACCTCCAGAGGCTATTTAATACATCATACTTTTATCTAGTTTGGAAAATATTTTAATAAAATCAAACTTATTATTTATTATGTTTTTTTCCAGTCTGAATTGGTATGTTCAACCAAAGGTGAATATCAATTTCATTGCACATTGAAGAACCTGTGCTGAAAATTTAAAAGGAGTCCTTTGATGGCATGTTGTTAATTTCTTACACACCTGATTCTTCTTATTTTTATATTGAAGCATTTGCATTTATCATTTTCATATAACACACTTATTGAGATTACAAACACATAAAATTGACATGAAATGTATTTATTTTTATAGGTAAGGTATTTAAAGATTATAGAGAAGAGTGGGTACCAGGCATTACCATGGGTTAGATATATTACACAGAATGGTGACTACCAACTCCGTACTCAGTGAACAAAACAATGAGGATATAAATAATTGTTGTCTATTTATTGTTTCATACTAAAATTTGGAAATTATTCTCACTGAATGATAAGTTTTACCATATTTATTCATTTTAATCATGCATTGCTCACTGTTGTATGAAATGTGCTAAGATTAAGATTATAAGTTTAGCCATTATATTACTGTTCATAGAATATACAACTATTGTAACAGTTACTCTAAAAAAGGGTAAAATATTAATATATTTAAAAAATAAATCCATGTTATGTTTATGTTTTCATGTGCATTGTTTTTTTATAAAAATTCAATATTTTTTTAATAGTAATTTTTTGTCTGGTAGGCTGTAGATCCTGTGTAACAGGGCTTTCTGTTGAGTTTAAAAAATCTTTTCAGTGGATTGCATGAAAGCAAGCCCATTCAATAAGCAATTTTGTCTTAAGCTTATGCATGATAAGTCTTTTTGCATTTAAAGTTAGACGTGATAATGCTTAGAAATACTTACAATACACATACATTCAAAAGAGTATACACAAATGTTTATTTAAACCTGTCATAGTGCTGTTTATAAAATGAAACATTGTTGTCAACATGAACATGAATAAATGGAAATAAAATTGAAATATCACTCAGTTATTTTTTTCTAGCCTGGAATAATGTAGCAGTAGAGGATCCATATGTGTTGTCTTTCTATGGGGATAGTGGTCGTGACTGCGGCTGTAACAATTTGCACATAACCTCTATTTCTTATCCAAACTTTCACCTAGGATGGTAAAAATTAGTATTGAAGTAGTTCGTTATTAGACCTTGTCAGACGGTCATCACTTCAGTGGTCTGGTTAAGTGTGCAAGATGAGTTTTATTTTTAGCCACTTTAAAAAAATATGTAAACGATATATTTGGTATGTTAATGGGTTGCGAAGAATACATATCTGACTGTTTAATGTCACATAGCCTTGACCTTAATTGCTTGCTTTTGTGGTCTGGTTAAGAGTAGGTTGAGATATGTACTTCAGTAATTATACATGTGTGGCAAATTTAAACTAACAGACTTCTTTTCTTTTATTTATTGGAACAATTGGTCAAATCCTCTCAATACCACACTAGAATAAACTAATTAATTACACTCCTGATAACAATTACCCGGTATATAATTTGCAAATATGTTAGCTTATAAACAAAAATCAAAGTAACATTCTGAGTCTTAAAATTTCTATGAATAACTCAAAAAGAGATAAACTAGCTAATTTTAGTAACAATGAAATATTAGAATTTGCCTGCATTTCTTAAACTTATATAAAGTAACTTTCACTATTTATCTATCTATTTGTTCCTCTTTACAAAATTACAGAATATATAAAGAATAATGTGTTAACATAACTCATCTACATAATTGTGTAGTATAAGAAATAAAAAGGTAAGGCTACAAAATTTAATCCTGGCTTGGTTGGAAAAGGTAAATGTGCATCTGACATGTGAAAGCCTTGACCTTGATTTCGCACTCCAGGTTTCACATTTTTATGTCCCCGCCGTAGCGGAGGGGGCAATAAGTTTTACCCTTGTCCGTCTGTACGTCCGTCCGTCTGTCCGTATGTACGTCCCAAAGTTGGTTTCTGTTCTCCAACTTTAGTTTGCCTCAACCAAATGTTATGAAACTTATACACAATGCTTATTACCACTAAATACAGATCAAGTTTGAATTTTGGTGGCGTCACTTTTACCGTTCTAGAGTTATGCTCCTTTACAAATGGAAAAATTACTAAATTTTTCGTTTCCGTTCTCTTACTTAAGTTTGCCTCAACCAAATGTTATGAAACTTATACACAATGCTTATTACCACAATATACAGATCAAGTATGAATTTTGGTGCCATGACTGTTACTGTTCTTGAGTTATGCCGGTTACAAATGGAAAAATTGTTAAATTATTCTTTTTTTTTTTTTCTAAATATCAAGTCATTTTTAAAATTGGAGTTATCTTCCTTTGTCCATGATTATAGTTGAATCAACTACAATCAATGCTTTATACAATGCAATGTTTAATTTTGCCTTCCACTGATAAAACACAGATCAAGTTGAATTTGGGTAGTGTCACTTTAACCATTATTGAGTTATGCCCCTTTATAAATCGAAAGATTGCAAAATTTTTAGTTTCCATTCTGTAACTTAAGTTTTGCCCAACCAAACATTATGAAACCTATACACAATATTCATTACCTCAAAACTAAGATAATGTACAATATTTTTGTTTCCGTTATCTAACTTTAGTTTGCCTTAACCAAATGTTATGAAACTTATACACAATGCTTATTACTATACATAATACAGATTAAGTACGATTTGGTGGCGTCACTTTTACCATTCTTGAGTTATGTCCCTTTATAAACATAAAAATTGCTGAATTTTTCATTTCCGTTCTCTAATTTTAGTTTGTCTCAACCAAATGTTATAAAACTTATACACAACCGTTCTAGAGTTATGCGTGTTTACAAATAGAAAAATTGCTGAATTTTTATACGACCGCAAAAATATTTTGCGGTCGTATATTGGTGTGACGTTGGCGTCGTCGTTGTCCGAAGACATTGGTTTTCGCACTCTAACTTTAGTTTAAGTGAATGGATCTCTATGAAATTTTACCACGAAAAAAAGGAAGGTTGAGATTGATTTTGGGGGTTATGGTACCAACAGTTTAGGAATTAGGGGCCAAAAAGGGGCCAAAAATAAGCATTTTTGTAACTTCCAGACATAACTTGTGTGTTAGTGTATTGATCTCTCTGACATTGTACCACAAGGTTCCATACCACAAAGGGAATGCTGGGATTGATTTTGGGGGTAATTGCCTCAAAATTTTAGGAATAAGGGGCCAAAAAAGGGGCACAAAAACAAGCATTTTTCTAGTTTCATGATAATAACTTGTGTGTAAGTGTATGGATCTTTCTGAAATTGTACTACAAGGTTCAATATCACAAAGGGAAAGCTGGAATTGAGTTTGGGGGTAATTGCCCAAAACGTTTAGGAATAATGGGGCCAAAAAGGGGCAAAAAATAAGCATTTTTCTAGTTTCCAGACAATAACTTGTGTTCAAGTGTATGGATCTCTCTGAAATTGTACTGCAAGGTACCATACCACAAAGGGAAGGCTGGGATTGATTTTGGGGGTAATTGCCTCAAAATTTTAGGAATAAGGGGCCAAAAAGGGGCAAAAAACAAGCATTTTTATACGACCGCAAAAAAATTTTTGTGGTCGTATATTGGTATGACATTGGCGTCGTCGTCGTCGTCGTCCGGCGTCGTCTGGCGTCGTCCGAAGACACATTGGTTTTCGCACTCTAACTTTAGTTTAAGTGAATGGATCTTTATGAAATTTTACCACAAGGTTCAATACCACAAAAGGAAGGTTGGGATTGATTTTGGGGGTTATGGTAATCACAGTAAAGGAATTAGGGGCCAAAAATAAGCATTTTTGTAACTTCCAGACATAACTTGTGTGTTAGTGTATGGATCTCTTTGACATTGTACCACAAGGTTCCATATCACTAAAGGAATGCTGGGATTGATTTTGGGGGTAATTGCCTCCAAATTTTAGGAATTAGAGGCCAAAAAAGGGGCAAAAAACAAGCATTTTTCTAGTTTCATGACAATAACTTGTGTGTAAGTGTATGGATCTTTCTGAAATTGTACTACAAGGTTCCATATCACAAAGGGAAAGCTGGGTTTGAGTTTGGGGGTAATTGCCCTAAACGTTTAGGAATTTGGGGCCAAAAAGGGGCCAAAAAACACATTTTTTTCTAGTTTCCAGACAATAACTTGTGTTCAAGTGTATGGATCTCTCTGAAATTGTACTGCAAGGTACCATACCACAAAGGGAAGGCTGGGATTGAGTTTGGGGGTGATGAATCATAATGGGGGTTCAAAAAATTTTGGGGGGGGGTTTATTTTTTTTTTCCTTTTTTTTCTTTTTTTCCTTTTTTGTTTCTTTTAAAATTTTCCATTTTAAGTTGGTTATTTCTGATTTATATTTAAAATCAAATAATAATGATATGGTAGGAGATACACACCAAACAGGATGTGTAAATTATTATATAATAAGTATTGTGCAATAGCAAGAAATTTTCAATTGCACAGTATTGCACAATAGCAAGAAATCTTCAATTGCACAGTATTGCGCAATAGCAAGAAATCTTCAATTGCACAGTATTGCGCAATAGCAAGAAATATCCAATAGCACAATATTGCGCAATAGCAAGAAATTGTCAATTGTACAGTATTGCACAATAGCAAGAAATATTTAATAGCACAGGATTGTGCAAAAGAAGATACTTCCTATAAATTGCTTATTTCTTGACCAATTTCAATGGGGTTTTATTCTTGATTTCATGGGGTTCTTTAATATGCTGAATCTAACCGTGTATTTAGTTTTACGTTTAGGAATTTGGGGCCAAAAAGGGGCCAAAAAACACATTTTTTTCTAGTTTCCAGACAATAACTTGTGTTCAAGTGTATGGATCTCTCTGAAATTGTACTGCAAGGTACCATACCACAAAGGGAAGGCTGGGATTGAGTTTGGGGGTGATGAATCATAATGGGGGTTCAAAAAATTTTGGGGGGGGATTTATTTGTTTTCCTTTTTTTTCTTTTTTTCCTTTTTTGTTTCTTTTAAAATTTTCCATTTTAAGTTGGTTATTTCTGATTTATATTTAAAATCAAATAATAATGATATGGTAGGAGATACACACCAAACAGGATGTGTAAATTATTATATAATAAGTATTGTGCAATAGCAAGAAATTTTCAATTGTACAGTATTGCACAATAGCAAGAAATCTTCAATTGCACAGTATTGCGCAATAGCAAGAAATCTTCAATTGCACAGTATTGCGCAATAGCAAGAAATATCCAATAGCACAATATTGCGCAATAGCAAGAAATTGTCAATTGTACAGTATTGCGCAATAGCAAGAAATATTTAATAGCACAGGATTGTGCAAAAGAAGATACTTCCTATAAATTGCTTATTTCTTGACCAATTTCAATGGGGTTTTATTCTTGATTTCATGGGGTTCTTTAATATGCTGAATCTAACCGTGTATTTAGTTTTTGGATTTTGGGCCCCGTTTTTAAATTGGTCCACATTGAGGTCCAAAGGGTCCAAAATTAAACTTTGTTTGATTTCATCAAAAATTGAATTATTGGGGTTCTTTGATATGCCGAATCTAACTGTGTATTTAGATTCTTAAATTTTGGTTGTGTTTTCAAATTGGTCTACATTAAGGTCCAAAGGGTCCAAAATTAAACTTAGTTTGATTTTAACAAAAATTGAATTCTTAGGGTTCTTTGATATGCTGAATCTAAACATGTATTTAGATTTTTGATTATGGGCCCAGTTTTCAAGTTGGTCCAAATCGGGGTCCAAAATTAAACTTTGTTTGATTTCAACAAAAATTGAATATATGGGGTTCTTTGATATGCTGAATCTAACCATGTATTTAGATTTTTGATTTTTGGGCCCAGTTATCAACTTTGTCCACATTGAGGTCAAAAGGGTCCAAAATTAAACTTTGTTTGATTTCATCAAAAATTGAATTATTGGGGTTCTTTGATATGCCGAATCTAACCGTGTATTTAGATTCT